CCAATAAAGCCTAGGTAAGCTATAGTGGATGATTCCATAGTCTCTTTTGTCCTCACAACCAAAATTCAGTCTGCTGACAGAAAAATATAAGAACTACTACAACAGCAGACATAAAGTCACATGCCTATAATCCCAGCATTCTGGGAGGCTGAGACAGGAGGATTACAGTTTCAGCCCAGCCTGGACAATTTAATGATTTAATCTCAAAATAAAAAATAAAAAGGAACTGGGGTTATAGTTCAGTGTGGAGGGCTTGGGTTCAATCCACAGTACACAGGACGCAGAACGCAACAGAGAACAGAAACAAGAAAGGCGGCCTGAACCCAGGAGGGAAGGAAGCTGGATCTCGAGAGCATCTCGAAGGAAGGAACCTGCTGTTTCTGACACTTCCTGTCACAGGCAGAGCAAGAGGAAGGGGGACTTAAGAGCAGGCCACAGTGGAGCTGGAGAGCCGTGGGTCTGGATCTTTTCCCAGAACCTTGTCAGAGAAAGTCGTCCAGGTGATGGAGAACAGGAAGGTCTCAAACTGGAACAGAGAAAAGATTGGAACAATGCCCAGTTAGAACACATGCAAGAAGAGGTGGATTTTGGAAGGATTACAAAAGTAAAAAAGGGAGGATAAATTCATAGATATGGGAATTAACTGGCTGATCTAAACAACACAACTAAAAAGGCAGAATTGGTTAAAAAAAAAATGTTGACGTCTAACTGGAAGAGGTAGTTGTTTCCAAATAACTTTTAACCACCAAGCACATCTGACAAAAAACATTCCAGGATTATTCTACAGAAGGGCAGACATCATATGGCATATCCTGACCGTACATGCTAAGGCAGAAATAGAAAATACTGAAATACAACTAAAAATGCCTCATTCTTTTTCTCCATCTTATTTTTCTTTTATTAGTGCATTTTTGTTCTACAGTGTGCTTGGTTTCCGTATGGTACATTGCACACGTGGATAACATACTCTTCTCCTCCTCCCCTGATCCCTTTCAGCTTTTCTAATAAAAATGAAAACATTAAGAACATAGAACAGATACTTAATACATAGTATATGTTCTGGTCAACAATGCTAGAAGCTCCACAACTAGGTATCCGGGCGTGGTGGTGCACACCTGCAATCCAGCTCTTGGGAGGCTGAGGCAGGAGGATGTTTGCGAGTTTGAAACCAGCCTGGGCTACAAAGCGAGCTCAAGACCAGCCTGAACTGCATAGTGAGACCCTTTCTCAAAAAGACAAAAAAAAAAAAA